GCAGGCGCTGTCGGCAGACCAGCTCACGCGAAAAATAGGTCGAACCTGTTGGCATGGAAAGGGATTCTCCAAAGACTGGAAACTGCAGAATGTCGACGAAAACAGGTCAGCGTGCTAGCCACGCACATTGGAGAAACTCGTTTGCAGTTACCAACGGCTCTGTCAAAATCCCATGCAACGCCGCGCCTCCAGTGTGTTTTCTTCAAGCAATTCATCACATATCGGGTCCTTTACAAACCTCCCAGACTCAGCACGTTCATATCGTATACCGCACTAGGCGTACTAGCTGCAGGCTCATGAGCTTACTCGATTTCAAACGCACTCATCTACATGGATACTAACGGTGAAGTGCCTGTGCTGAGCAACGCGGCTTTGCAGTGTATTTTCTGACGGGTGAAGTCACAAACAAGTTAGAAGATGCTTTTGGAAGAGCATAAAATGCCACAATGCACACATGCCCGCATGGCCACAGAGGCTGAGGCAAATACCCTGCACCACCAATGCCTGCTTAATGCCTAAGTTTGTTGATCATGTTTACTTGAACGAAACATGAACAAAGCGCCGCAAACAGGGGAAAAGGAGGGTTTGGAGCTGGGCAGTGCTCACGCAGAGTGGCTAACGTGTCATGAATAAGGTCAGTCTTTGAGGAGCGAAAAGATATCTCTATGGTCCGCCAGAGGAACGGCTGACACGACTACAATTACGACAGGCCACATGCTAACGCCAATACCCATTGTGCAGCTTGATTTGTGCAGCTTGATTTTACGTCGCGGGTATCTCATGCGGCCCTATGGTGCCAAGCAGCCCACTATCTGCACGTCGCATCATGATAGCCAGTTCCATGCCTGCAAATGTACACAGCCTGCTGAATAAAATAAATTCGGAAGATACCTTTTTGATAACCTGTGCATTCTGCGTTCGCATGGAACAACTTTCAAACGCACGGATTCGAGCTGCCGGGCCCTTTGACAATATTAGAAGTTTGTGATGCCTCGTGCGGTAAGACTCCACCATCGTGAACCCGTCCTGCACACCACTGTCCTTGGAAGGGCATATATGAACATGCATCCAACTTGAGTCAATAGAGAAAACGTGATAAAAGGGTTGGGGGCGGACGCCCAAGGAGGAAAAGCACTAACATGCCTCTCGTGCTACTCTCGAGTATTCAAATGGTTTGTGAAAGTAGAAACTAATACTGAGGTTTAAATGGTGCTGAAGCATGTGACGCACACTCTGCAAGTGTGCTTGAGGAACACTGATCACTGCTATGCTTACAGCTGGCCATTAGCCAACGACAAGAGAAGATGAGCACTATCTGCATCTCGCAAGGGCAAATCCCGCTCCAGTGGTATTCCCGTAATCCCGCTCCAGTGGCATGAACGTTCTCCAGTGAGCGCAGCTCCAGAGTCATGGCCTCGAGCTGCCGGAACATTTTAAGCAAATTAAAACTTTTCCAAACCCGTGGGCATCTGGCCCGTCGCTGTGCAACACTATTGCCTGGACCGTTTTGCTGTTAAGCGAAGGCCTTGGATCACGGAAAAATTCCAACACATATTTTGCGGGCGGTTGTACAGCAGCGCCGAGCAAGCAGAAGGGCATGCAACTCTGTTGCTACTCACTAGCAAAGCCCAAGACGCTTACGAATCATACTTCCTCGCCTGGAATAGCTGATGTAAAAATACCCAAAATGTCTTCCCGGAGCAACTAAACGGCTTTCCTAATTTTAAGTGTTATCCAGTGCAAAGGACCCACACGCTACAGAAACAGCAGTCACCAACAATCCGGTAAACTTGCCAACGCAACGCTCAGAGACTATGGTGCTTGAAAAGCAAACCAAATGGAGCATCTTGTTTAAACACTGCTAAGCTTGCGCTGCATAATGGATGCGCAAACATTGTCATCTGCAGTCCTACCAACGGCGACATGCCCATGCCGCGAGGTTTTAGGTTTGCCGTGCAGATTGGCTAACACCTGGAAATCAAAAGATGGAAAGGCATGCTCCTGATAATGCAGGGGAGGGAACGATTGGTGCGCGTTTACCCAGAGCCTAATTACAGTACAAAGCAAAACCGCGGTCGACTCTTGTGAGTTAAAGACACTCCTTGGCTGCACAAAACGACGAAACAGGAGCATGCGCAATCCATTTAAAAAATTTCAAAAACACGTTAAAGCGCGAGATGTCTGTTGAGCAGGATCCCAGTTGTCTGCGACG